AAAAAATAGTACTAGAATTGATGAGTTTAAACATAAGTATAAAGGTATGTGTCAATCAAGATATATGCAAGAACAGGTTTAATGATTAATTAGATGGAACATTGTGGGTGTGGGGTAAGAATGTTAGCACTCTAATAATTCTTTAGTATATTACTTGTGTGGCGTAGAAGATAATTATCTATGTATGTAATTAAGTAGAATGTTAACACTGTAATAATTCTGTAGTATATTACTTGTGTGGTGTAGAGGATAATTATTTATGTAGAGATATTGCTTAGGACTTAAAAGTGGTAAGATGATGTCATGGGGTAGGACTAGATAAGTCTAACTTCTCCCTACTCTGTTCAAGCATGTACTAGATACAAGTAAATTGATATTGGATTATTATTGTTGGATATGTGTGAAATTACATGTGTTGACATATCAACTGGTTTACATGCTTGAATGAATAAATCAAATCAAATATTTGGATGCAGTATGCAACAACATTTACTGGAGGCAGACACGAGCTGGCTATTGATACTGATCTTTCAGGTCCGTTAATTTCGATTTTATGATTTTGTTTTCTTCAGTTGTTACATAAAGGGTATTTTAGTGTCCTGGAAACTCAAATTTTTCTATAATAAGCAAGTGAGCAACACTGTTTTTTTGAGTATAAAATTATGTAAAGTTTACATTATAGGCTAAATTGTGAACACATTTTCTAGTTCTAATGTTGTGGCCCAAGGATTTAAATTCTATGGCAAATGCAAATCAACAAATATTATACCTATATTTTTTTAGATCTACTTGTGCAGAACATTTGAGCAGGAATAATAAAAGCCCTGCACAGCTAACAATGATGTCATTATTATGTACAACACAAACAGTATCCCATACAGTTACATACATTAGCAGTTGCTTCACTTAAGTACAGACGTCTACTTTAATGATCAGTTTGAGCACAGATGGACTGAAACCGAAAGTCTGCTCAGTGATTCAGCTGAACTTTTGTGTTTTTCACTCGGACCCTCTCATAAGCAGAGGGTTTTTTAAAAACTGTTTTAAAGTAAAAAAAAAAAAAAAAAAGTAAGTTTTAGTAAGGTGAGATTTAATATTATGCTGTGGGCCATTCATCTACCATTTTCCTTTACCTCTCTATTCTTTTGCATTATAGTGTTTTCTGTCTGGTACCCTTTGAACAGCATGACAGTTTTACAACACTGATAAACTGTGAGCTAGGTTCTGGTTTTCATAATTAAGTAGACACACCTTTGGCAATTTCTGTGCTGTTTATGGACAGTGTCATTCGTTAAGGTATTTTTGCCTGTAGGCCTGTCCCTCTCCTTGACAGGATGTTCACTACAAGTTAACCAAAGTCTGTTAACCATCATGATTGTGAAAACACACAATGTTTCCTTACAGCACAAAGAAAATTTTACAAGAAATCAGTTGTTACACTGTGGAAACGAACTTTTGACCAAGAAGCTGCATTGTGTTAGTTTCTGGTTTTATAAATGTTTGCTTTATATTATTTTAAAGATGAGGAAGCATCACTACATGTAATGATCATGGGAACCAGGTTGAACACATATTGTACATGGCCAAGAATTGGGCTTTTCTCCAGGAGAATTCTATCTTGATTAACTGGGTTTCTCAAATGCCCTACCCTGGTTATAGAAACTGGGTTTAATGATATAATGGAAAAATAAATATAACAAATCAGATTACTGCAAAATGTCACCTATTTCCTAAAGTACATCTAAAGATGCTGATTGATCTAGTATAGGCCTATATGACTTACTGTAGTTCACGGGTTGGTTGTATCTTATGCCAGACTTCAGACTAAATGAGACTGTGCCCTACAGCAATGGTTCCCAGGTGGGCCTTGGCACCCTGGAGTGTTTGAAGCCTTTATAATACCTGCATGTTTGATGTCCTGCTGTGTTTTTTTTTTTATTTTGAGAACCAATTTTAAAACATTAAAATTCCCTTCTTTCCTGTACTGTTTGTTTCTGTGAATCAGGTCGTCGTACCACCCTCCCTGCCCCATCAGCAGACAACAGCCATATTGGCATCATGTCGATCCTGTACAACAACATTGGCAAGGACCTGTCCAGAGTCTCTATGCCAGTTGCTCTTAATGAGCCGCTGTGTCTGCTGCAGAGAGTCACTGAAGAGCTGGAGTACTCTGAGCTGCTGGACATCGCCAACCACATTAACGATCCATATGAGAGAATGGTGAGTTTGGTTTATGTAGGCCCCAAATCAGCTAGAGCTGAGAGACAGTTGAGCTCAGTGCTAACTTCAGTAACGTTTGTTGCTAGGTTTACGTGGCAGCATTCTCCATTTCTGGCTATGCTTGGGCATCCTGGAGGAATCGCTACAAACCCTTCAACCCTGTTCTGGGAGAAACATTTGAGTGTCACAGAGAAGACAGAGGCTTCCGTTACATCAGCGAGCAGGTAACCAGCAGAGAAGGATACACAAACATGTTGACTAACCCTCCACATCTGGATTTAGAACAAATTCGAATGCTTCGTTCTGTGTTGAATTTCAGGTCAGCCATCACCCACCCATTTCTGCCTGCCATGCTGAATCAGAAAACTTCACTTTCTGGCAAGGTAGGAACAGCGTCCTTACTGAGTGCTGCATTCAAATGTACTGTATGAGCACAGTTAAACCTAACGCTGTGTTTCTGTTGTATCTGTCTGCTCTCAGATCAGAGATGGAAAAACAAGTTTTGGGGGAAATCAGTAGAGATAATCTCTTCGGGACTGGTCAACATTACCCTGCCCAAGTGAGTCACTGGTTCCTTTAACACCAGTCACACAGTACAGCACATAAGTAACTTGTAGTTTAAGTACTGTCATACAGTAGAACACCTGCATATATATAGCACACGTGACAAGTTTTACTATACAATAATATGTTAACAGTATACCAAGCAACATATAGTATTTTTTTATCTGTGAAAATCCTTGTGTAATGGCTGTTTTTTAAAGGTTAACACTCTCCTCTTTATGCCTGTATTGTGCAACATAGAAATGACAGTAATTTACTTTATGTAGTAAAGAGTTAGCATCTTAACTGCTTAGTAGCTTACTGTTACTGTGTCATGTCTATCAGTAGTTTAAAGGAATTTGTGGTTAAAAACAGACATTAATAGACGTCTGCAGTGGCAGCCCTCTGTGATATTTAGTGGTCACAGACACACTCTGTTACTTCCAGTCTGTGGCCCATCATTTCATTGTCAGTTCCCAGATAGCAAGATGCACTGAGTAGGTCTTTTTCATGTCATTTATCAGTGCCATAGCCATAATTGGGCTTTTTAGTAACCTTACTTTAAGTTAGGGTAAATTGCCCTCTGTGTTCTAATCTCTCAAAGTGATGGATGGCCTTCAAATTTTTCCATCATTATTAAAAAAAATTCTGTTAATCATTGAAAATATTCAGTCAGCGTAACCCCTGAGATAAGCCAAAGCTGTGATAAAAGTGTGGACATGTATCAAAATGCAGTTTTAAAACGGAGGCAAGAATGCACAACATGGTTAAATGAGCTGTAAGAAGTGAAATATTTTTGTTTTCTGCATGTAGTTACGGTGATCACTATGAGTGGAACAAGGCAGTGACATGTATCCACAATGTGCTGAGTCAGCAGCGCTTTTTGGAACACTATGGTGAGGTGGTCATCAGAAACACAAAGAGTGATGTCTGTACCTGCAAGATCACCTTTGTCAAAGTAAGAACACATGCACACACACTGACTGTCACTCTGTTGCTCACACGTAGCCAGTCTCTACTCAGTCTGTTACTGCTTATTCAGTTGGAGGGCAAAATAATACATAGAGACTTCTCTTGTCCCCTTCCCCTGTTTTACCATCATGACCGCTTCCTCCCCATTATCCAGTCTCGCTACTGGAACTCAGACAGCAATAAGAACGAGGTGCAAGGTGCGGTCCTGGACCAGGCTGGAGAGGTGGTCCATCGCTTTGGAGGCTCCTGGCATGAAGGCATCTTCTGTGACACCCTGCCCACACCAAAGTGCATCTGGAAGCCCAGTGAGTAGCATCCTGCCCTGTCTGAACTCTGGAGAAGTCCTTAAATGGCCTGAAAATCTGAAGTGTTGACTATTTATCTCATCATATCGCAGTTGGTCATCTGCTTTTTTGTGTCGTTCCAATGCAAACAAAAGAAATAAACATGAGAATACTAAAGAATTTGTAAATTTTTCTGGGAGAAGTGATGAGTTATCTGACAGAAATGCAGGGGTGCCAATATTTTTGTCCATGACTGTAAATATAAGCTTGTGAAAGATAGAGAAAAGACCGACAGACATATTGTCTGTGAATTACAATGATATGCATGGTTTTCACATGGGAAAAGTTATCCTCCATAAACCTTACCCTTGGATTTTTTTTACATTAGTTAGTGTTTTAATAATTGATATATTTGATGTTTGCTGTTTAGACGTGCAGCCTGATGACCACTTTCAGTTCTACGGCTTCTCACGTTACGCCAGAGAACTCAATGAACTGACACCTGACCTGAAGGCCGTTCTCCCACCTACAGACACACGCTTCAGACCAGACCAAAGGTACAAATGGAATACTGTTTGTTTACACTGAAATATGCACCGTGGTTCCATCTTCCATGTTGCCCAGTTGTTTTATTCTTTTCCCTTCTGCTTTCCATCAGGCTCCTGGAGGAGGGAAAGGTAGCAGAGGCAGATAAAATGAAGGACAAGGTGGAGGAGAAACAGAGGGAGAGAAGGAAGGAGATGGCCAAGAGAGGGCAGGAGCACATCCCCAGGTTTTTCAGGTGAGGGACAACAAATGTAACATGTATAAATAAGACTCATCAAGAAATGGCTTCACCCCTTATCAGCCATATTTTAGAGGGCGCCTCTAGTGATGGGGGACTGAAAAGACAGATTCAAAAGTCAAACTGTGTGCAGCTGAGGTTGTGAGATCCATTTCAGTTTTTATAACTGTTCTCTGTGTTTGAAGTAAATTCACAGTTTAACACAAAATTTAATGTAACCAGAGATAAATTGCAGAGCCAAATAGAAATACAAATTATCAGGCCTCTGTACTTCTCTCTAAAAAGATTCTATAAGTGAAGACAGCATGTTTCTCACTGGAATCATCACTGATAACTTTAATGCTGCCAAAACATACACTAAATATCTTTTACTAAAATCCTTCACTACATACATATGTTTTGAGTCTAGACAGATGCTTGTAAACTACAACTTGACTGGTCGGCAGAGGTATACAACTGCAAGGTGCTAATCCTGGCTGTACTCAGTAAACAAATGAGATGTTTTATACAGAGCTTGGCTCTCCTCCCATTTGGCAGCCTTTTTGTTAAGCAAATGGGCTGTTAATGTTATTGTTAACAGAAAATATTATTTGAAGATGAGTGCCTGACAGTACCAGTTTTTTGTGTTTTCAGGAAAGCTCTGGATGCGGATGGCAGAGAAGTGTGGCTGTACAATGGAACCTACTGGAAGATCCGCAAAGACCCGGGTTTCTCCAAGACTGAAAACCTGGACCTGTGGTAGAACAATTCTTCTAGCTTAATGCTGAGGCTGAATGAAGCCACCCAGGTGCTGAACACCAAATATTATTAGTAAAATTGATTAATCATACCCATGTTAGTCCAGTAACCTCTGCAGAATATGATGTAGTGATGTGTGGAAACATATACAGGCCTGTTGCTACCGTTACTGAAGGGTGTAGAGCAGAAGGGATGTTGGAAAGCATACATGAACCTCTAATGGGGTTGTTGTGCCACTTAGAGGTGAGGTGCAACTCTGGAACAAATGAAGACTGATTTAATAGAAGCCGGATGTCTTTCCAGCCTTTCGCCCACCTGCAACCATAATGGAGACCTTAATTATAATCACTCAACAGCAAATCTTAATTTGAAATCCCGTCTTTTACTCTTTATCACTGCCTTTGAAAAGTTGTGGGTAAAAAGCTTCAAGTGTTTGTCTGGATTCTAGCCTCTCTCTGTTGTAAAATGCCTTATATTTGTGGGAAAAATGGCAAATTATATGTTATGCTTTAGTTTTAACATTTCCATATAACTATTTAGGCTCAGTTTTGTGACAGTTGTGATGAATTGAGACATTGAGTGTAGGAGACTTGCTTCCTGCAGAAGACTGAGAATGTGCAAAAGCTAATGCTGGTTCTTCTGGGGTGTATTAAAGGTGAACTGGTGCTGCTTTCTATTCTAAGTGGTTCTTGATGTATAAACTTGGTTTTATTTGTAATGTGTATTTTGTTTTTTGATGTTTAGTTGTGATGCACTGGTGACACATTGGTTCCCTAAAGTGTCCCTATACTGGAAAAATCTAGCTCTTCTCCTGTTAGCTTAGCCTTCTTCCTCTTTTGCTTGTGTGAATTGTTGGTGTCCAAAACAATCTGACAGACGAGGATTCCATCTCTCGGTTCTTTATGCTCTCAGTTGATGCAATGAAGTATTTTTATTGATGTTTCAACTATAGATTTTAATAAGGAAAAGAGACTATTGTTAAATCCCAGCCAGATGTATTTTTACATAATGGTTTTGTTTCAAATAAAATGTTCCATAATTAACATCATGTTGGAAAAACTTTTGTTCACCACCGACCTTGTGGAAACAGTACGATGAATCTGGCCCAAATCCAATCCATAAACCAAGTATTAGTGATTAATGCCTGTATTTGCAGACTGACATTTTGTTTATGGTCATGATCAGCCCTTATTAATGATTTGATTAAAATCTGTCACTGCATTTATACAAGTTTCACACTTTGTCATACATACAGTGGCACGAAAAAGTATGAACCTTTTGGAATTTCATGGTTTTCTGCATTAATTTGTCATAAAATGTGATCTGATCTTCATCCAAGTCAAGAGTACTGATGAATATAATGTGCCTAAAATAACACAAAAAATTCTGGTCTTTCATGTCTTTACATACTTTTTCTTGCCATTGTAACTAAATAATTGTCCCAGATGCTCTGCAATAGTTTTTGCGAGTAGATAATCCATTTGAGCAATCTTCACAATCAACCAAAGAGCTAAAAGGATGAAGTTGCTAGTAAAAGCTTTTGTGAGACCTGCATTATTGGAAATTGTTACCAATTTGTCTTGGAAATTAGCTGAAGCCAGGTTCATATGTGTAACAAGAGGTGACATGGACTCCACTGCATGTCCTACATTTAGAGCTGCAACAACCAATCAATAAAATTGGTTAAAAAAATCAATAAAAATAATAATGGTGAGTAATAAAGAAGGTGAGTTTGGAATTAACATTAAGTTGTTTATTTTAATGTAAGAAATTACGAAATGAAAATGTCTATGTAGTTGTACTGCTTAACCATTCCACATAGGTTCAGCCTCTACACACATATATACACACACACACACACACACACTTCATACACACACATCCAGTCTCAGCTGCCACACACACATATCCTGTTGCACACAAAGCCCAACTGCCTGGGCCCAACTTTTTACTTCTTTCTTTTGTCACTCACTGACTCTTTTCTCTGGGTGACCTCACGATCGATCAAGATACTGGTATTTGTACTTATGCTATTGTCTGATTGCTTAATAATCCACACAAAAGATAACTTGAAGCCTCTTTATTGATTTCCACAGAACATGGTGTCAGATGTGGGATAGGCCAACCGTTCAGCTCCATTGGGGATCGATAGAGATTGGCCAAAGTAGCAATTCCTCCCAATGGCTGGGAGGCTGTCTTCCCGGAAAGACTGTACAGTGCTCCTGTCACCAAACCATAACGTAAAAACATCAGACAATACCATACACATGCTGGAATTGGTCAAGCACCAATAAGCACTAATCTCATTATGGCAGTACTGCCCACGGTAATAGGTCTGGGACCTACAATCAAGTATATTACCACAGTAGTTGTACAGTAATTGGTGGATGCAACATAGTGTTCTTAGGCTGTTTGGGTTAATTGTCTAGTCCGACTGGGTCCACAGTAAAGGAACTGGACAAACCCTACAGTTCACACACTTGAGATAATGGGAAAATCACTGACCTGGAACCCGGACCTGGATCTGACCAGTGTCCTCCTCAGTACTCCATATGTTATTGGATGAAACAACATTATCCTGCAGAGAGAGAGATCAGACGCAGCCTATTTTGGGAGTCTAACAAAGAAACAGAAAAGAAAATTTTAAGCATTTAAAGCTGACTGGAAAGTATACAGCAGGTGGTGAGAAGGCAGAGGGGGAAGGAAAAAAGGCAAGGTCAGGATAAGCATTTGTATGATATGCACACACAACATAAACTGCAACCAAATGTTAAAGAAGAAATGCTTAAAACCATAGATAAGACATGCATGCTCTGAGCAATGAAGAATGCTTTGCTGCCGATACATTTAATTTTTCCTTTTTTCTGAAATGATAACACTGGTTGAAGAAAAAATTAGGGAGAGAAGAAAACCCAGGCGGGCAGAGAGTAAACTATTCTATTAGTCTATTAGTGTGTGAAGTATGCAGGAGGTGACATTCCTAGTGGATTCTGGTGCAGCAGCTTCTCTTTTATCTGTTGGTTTTCTAACAACTCCACCCAAATGGAGCGGCAGAACATGTTACACTGTTGGCTGCAACACTGTTGAAATGCAAGCTGGGGAATATCAACCTGAAACATGCGTTTATTTACTCTACTCTGTGCCCTGTTAACCTACTAGGGAGAGATCTGCTGTGTAGTTTTCACCTAGGGCTCATTTCCACACCAGAAGGCATATCTGTCATCATATCACCCACTACATATATATGCATTTGAGGACTACAGAACATAGTACAATGTACAGGGTGATGTATACTGCACTGCTTTCACCTCCTCTGTTATAGTGAACCGCACAGTGCAGCTGGCTGCTCAGACTCCCACATATACAGACAGATAACATGTACATACTTACAACACAGGAGTTAGCAGAAATCCCAGATGGTCTTTGGGAAAAAGACAATTACAATGTGGGCCTTATGACAAATGCCAAACCCTTAGTGGTGCACCTGAAATCAGACCACAGGCCCTGCTTAAAGCAGTATCCATGGAAGCATCAGGTTGCCAGGGGCTCCAAAGCATGGCATGAGGATTTCTGAGGCCCTTGTCTGTTATGCCCATAGCCTCAGACCCTCAGGAGTCAGTAGAAAGTAGTCAATGGCTGTCCACAGTGAAATTTGTGAATTCTCCAGCATAGTTGCAGCATTGGTTCTATAAAGACAACTCAGTTTCTAGTTTATGAAATGCCATCTTATTCTAGTCGTCATCCACTGAAAATCCTCAAAGACACCTGTCACAACAAATTTAACCAGCATGAAAGTTTATTCTGGATCTTGGAAACAGTCTTTCGACCACAACAGTCCCAACTGAAAAGTTACTTGCCAGCTTTTTTTTCTGGAGCTTCCAGCTGTATCGCATGGTCTTCATCAGCAGACGGAATTAGCATCCATTGAATCACAAGATCTTATATGCCAAGTAATATGGTTGAAAGCTCCAGAACAAGCATGAAAGTAATGCCTCTTTTTTTCCATCCATCCATCCATTATCTATACCGCTTAGTCCCGAACGGGGTTGTTCTAATCACAGCCGTTTTTTCATTAAGTCACAATTATACATGGCTCAGTTCCACTATGTTTCTCCATTATTTGTGTGAACCAAGATCGGTCAAATTTACAATGTTTTGACTTTGTATGGATAGCAATTTGACCTATGTGTGTGTGACAGTGTAGAATAGCTCATGCTAAGGCATCTGCTAACCTCCACAAAAGTGCATGAACACTAACTACATTACAGACACATAGAAATCAAACTGGAACCAGTGTTCCCATCTTAAAATAGAAAATGGGTGAGGACTTAATTTGACAGAGATGTCTGAGGAACTGCAGTGCACTCCATAGCTTTGTGTCAGCTTCATGGAAGAAAAACCTAATTCAAAGTTCCTCCAGTTTGATTTCCCAACAGTCAGTGTGTATTCATTCACAGCGAAGGGTTCTCGTTCATCTGATCAAGAGCCATATATGTACAGTCTCTGTTGTCCCTTGACAGAACAGTTTTTTTTCAAATGAAAATAATACATTTTTTGCTGAATAAGTTTGGCTTTCATCCTTAAATTACTAACAGTTAACAGTCAAAATATCTGCTTCTCAGTGCAGTAGCCCATGTGTAATTGTAATGGTAAGTGATGACGCACTGAAATGATAAGTGTGACAGTTTCTCTGGTGTTACTGCCGGTGCAGAATTTCAGTTCTATGAGGAACACCGTGGAGCCGCACCAACAGAAAATGCACAAACTCATGAATGTGGAATGTTTCTAGAGTAAAAACGTGATCAATGGGTGAAAAAGGACTTGATTAGGTAAAGGACTGTTCCTGTATGGAACCATATCAAAATTATGAGAAAATTTGACTTGGAATCCTGTTTGAAGCAACACTGTTTTTATTATTAAATACTGTCATAGTTTGATTAATTAATTGTAATTAATGCATTATGATCAAAATTATGTATCTGAAAATAATCTCATAAATATGAATTATAGACTCATACTTGTGAGCCAAATAAATGTCTGTTCTATAACTAAGTGGCTCATAGATAAGAGACTTTTCCTCATAATTATGATGCAGTAAGTCAGATATCTAATAAAAAAAATATGATGCGGAATTCGAAGATGTGTTTTAATTAATAATTTTGTAATTCTAACACATTATGTAACAGTGATGAAAATGTGGTTTCAAGTAGGAGATATGGGCTTCCATAGCTTTCTGCCTTTTTAAAGTGGGTTGCACTTTCATTTCCACACCATAAGATGGCAGTAGGTGATTTTTTTCTGTAAGTCTTTCTTTTATTTGATCACATTTTTACCTTTGAAACTTTTCACATATTTGAATTTATTTACAGTTTGCTTTGGAACTCCACAGATCAATAGATCAGCCCCATTTACTGTCAACAATATCCTGAAGTATTTGTTGTATCATTTCCTTTAACCATGGATTGTTCTGTGCCATATACTTGAGAGCTGGCTATTAGACTTATAGACTACATAGTGCTCATAGTTTGTCAAACTGGTATATGCTACTTACTAAAATTACTGTTATTAAAACTTAACCTCAGAATCTTAGGTAAAATTCTCATTTAAAACTTCTGCAACAGCATTACAGCAGTGACATGCAGGTGGTTTGGTGTACGCTTCTGACACTGCATATGTCAGATGCTTCCAACATATCTTCTGTCCCCAGGCCTGCTCTTGAACCAGCATATGTGATGTTTCTAGCAGTGCCTTCAGCAGCTCCTGTCTTTGTGTCAGTGTTTCCAAGATATGCAGCACTATTGTGCTGTATAATCTGCTATTCCCTCAGTACTCAGGTCTATGTACACAAATGAAATGTTGTGAAAAGGGAAAAACACTATTTGAAAGGAACTGTTGTGAAAAATATTAGGCAATGCATGCCTGTCCTTGAACAAAACAAGAAATTTACAACCTGGAAATTAAATGATAAAGACATGAGTCTGAAGTGTAGAAAAACAGACTTGCTTTTGTAACTGGAAGGTCCCTGGTTTGATTCCACAGAAGATGCAGTTGTGCTGGGTGAGTTCCATAGTGACGCATGCAGGGTCACTAAACCACCCCTGGATTAAACCTAAACAGAAAACAACCATCTCCACCCATCTCCAGTGAAAATGGGTGTAAGACGCTTGATAACAAAGTTAGATCTTGCTGTTCTCCAAGTGGGAGTCAATGTGCTTGATGAGGGCATCATCAGGGTAACCAGTCGGGAAGGTCAGTTGACACAAAGGACAGCTCCGAGCAGCGCTCTCTTCTGGCTCCATCCATAACTACAGACAGAGTAAGACAGATGTGAAACTACTTATCCTTCAATTACATTTCAATCCTATAATCTAATCAGAAGCCATTGGTGGTATCATCTATCTGATAAAAGTCATAGCTTTTTGTGTTTCAAACATAGGTGACTGTTAGGTTTGTGGTATTTTATCAAAGGGCATTGATGTAAAGAGCTACTGTATGTGCATGATATTTGGTAGCTGGCATATAAAGGAAGCAGTATTAATGCTGGAGAACAGTGGTGAAAAGGGATAAAAAGTTTTTTCCGGTCTCTTGTTTGACCATAAAAGTCCTGTAGTTAGCATGACCGTAAGATTAAAAGATAGGAGGGAAACAGTTTATCTCATTATTACTAGGTTGTATGAGGATTTTGTAACCTCTTTTGCCCCATTTATTCTATTTTCACCGCTGCAGTCCCCAAAAGGACTACTGGTTTACATAATCTGGATTGTTTTCTACTCACATTAATTGAGGGCCATGACTGAGCATGCTCAGTGTTCATGTAGAGAGGCAGATGGCAGGAGAGGGTGGCAGGGCCCTCAGGGGCCGAGAAGGAAGGATGCTGTGGCTGTTTCCTAGGAGATGGAAATGAGGGGTGAAGGGGCTGTGATGAGCCAATCCCAGCTGCCCCAAGGGTTCGAGGTGGGCTGGCAGCCGGAGATAAATATGTACATACATCCTGTAAATGTACACAACACACACGTGTTCACAAGAATTAAACCCAGGTCTAATGTCACGAGAAGAATCACAAACATCATCATCGCCATCACCTCTTCATCATCAGAAGACTGTGGTGGTGTCACCAGTGGGGTGGGCTCAAGTGGGTCATCAAGGTGACAGAAGTGATGTACCTGGATGAGAGGAGGGTGGGGGAGAGCTGCATGATTCCTCAGAAAAACCTTAAAGTCTAAAAACTGTAAGGGGGAGAATGAAAGAAAACCTTGGAGGAGCAAAGCTAGATAGGTAGCTGATTAACTACAGGTATGAGAAGACATCAAGCAAATAAAATTAATTTCCACAGTTACCTAGAAGCAATAGGCAACTATGCCGGTGCATACGTTTAACAATGCAGAGATAACTGACTTACTAAGAGAAAATAAAAGGTCTGCCTCACCTCAGCAGCCACTGGGAAGCCCAAGTCCAGAGCACAGTGATGAGGGCTGCTGCTCAGACTGCTGCCCCCACCTCTCTCTCCTCCCCCGCCTCCTCCTCTCTCCTCTCCAGCTCCATGAGCTGAGGCTGGTCTGACCAGGCCCAATAAGGACGTACGGAGCTGAGACTTGGACTGACCGTAACCCTGCGTCTCACCCAGGAGGGGCCTGGGCTTGGGGAGGGTTGATACTGGGTCCCACATCAGGCGATCTTGAGGCCTCTGGATGGCTGATGGGTCAGACACCTGGAAAAAAGAGGAGGTAAAGGTCATGTGACTTCTCTATGCAATAATCAGATACAGTACACTGAAAATTGCACAAAAATGCCACAAAGTTCCATCCATCCATCTCCGTCTGCTTTATCCGAGAACGGGTCGCAGGGCTAGTAGCCTGAGCAGAGCCTCCCAGACTTCCCTCTCCCCACACACCTCCTCTAGCTCCTCAGGAGGAACCCCAAGGCATTCCCAGGCCAGCCAGGAGACATAGTGTCTCCAACATGTACTAGGTCTGCCCCGAGGCCTTCTCCCGGAGGGACATGCCTGGAATACCTCCCCAGGGAGGCGTCCAGGGGGCATCCTAAATAGGTGCCCGAGCCACATCAACTGGTTCCGTTCAACGTGGAGGAGTAGCGGCTCTACTCCGAGCTCCTCATGGGTGGCTGAGCTCCGCACCCTATCCCTCCACAAAGTTTCACAATAAATATTTAGCCTTACCTCAGAGTAACTACGGCGACCCTGGAACTTGGCTCGTAGACGGCTGCTGGTTGGCTGATGAGCATAGGAGGTGGGGCTGTCACTTGTAGATGGAGAGGAGGGGGTGGAGAGAAGCCTGTCAGGGGAGAGTGAGGGGCGCTGGGGGGAAGTTGGGGAGAGACGTTGAGGAGGAGGGGGAGGACGAGAGACTGGAGAAGCTAGAGAAAGAGAGAGAATGGATTTAGATTTTATCTCAGTACTACAATTCTGCCATGTCATCCCCTCATTTCAGCTGTCCTTAAGGCCAATTCATGCTTTCCACATCTTTCAAAACATGGCAAGCAGTGACTGGTCATTAGCACTGGTATACAAATATACAGTGATTCCTGACAAAGACTTGTTACATTTCTGACTGAAGTTTTTCTCTATAAGGTTGTTAGAAGTCATCAGATCCAGTGAGTCAAGCAGCAGGGTGAAAGTGGATGTGGTATCTTGACGGTGTGGGAATCAGGAAGATAAAGAACACTGCGTTGGATGCGACATAGGAAATTACACTTTGACACGGGACTGTACACCTGACGCTGGGTGAAAGATAGGGGTCTATATCTCTAACTGTTAATCGATCCCTATACCAGTTTTTAAGTCTTCTGACCAATAGTCCTGTCAGGCGACTCACCAGGCTCCTGTGAAACATGTAGAAGGTCACTCTGTTTGGCAGCCAGACTGCGAACACGGCCCAGCTCCTCTGTTAGCTCAGTGTAGGCTAACGCTAGGTTCACCCTGTAACTCACAAAAGATTGGCATATGTATAAAACAACAAACTGATACATACATAACTGCTTTCAAAATATTCTCCTATTTGAAATAAGACTCACTGTTCATCCCCAGCTTTCTTTATCCATTCTACGTTGCAGTGCTCACAGTGTGTGGCCACCTCCTGTGACTGACAGAGGGAACACAGAGCCATGGTTAGGGCAGGGCTATATCTGAGCAACCATCTACCATGAGATGAGATTGAAAGCAATGTAAAAAGTGTTTTTAAAATAAAGTAAAAAAATGTATTTAAATGTATTTAAATAAAATATCTAAACTGTAGTAAATGAACTAAAAACATAAAAAGACTCTAATCTGGACAATAACATGTTCAAGTCAGCAGAGTTGCAACATTCAATGTGAAGTATTAAGTCAAAGTAATAATTCCAGTACTGGTGAGCTATGTTGCAGGAAGATCAAACCCTTAAAGGATAAAGCCAGTCTTATTCTGTATTTGTGTTATTGTCAGTGAATCTCTTAAAAAGAGCATAAACAACAGTGTGATGGTCCATCTCTTTGTACTTTCTGACTTCAGTCCCAGAATTTACAGTGGGTACTAAAAACAGATCATCTTAGAAAGAATATATTTTGAAAATTATCATACAATAAACAGCTACAGGACACTACTAGTGTGTACAGCAAATAGGTTACAGCTAAGAATTTTTTTTTACCATAAATCAAATATATATAGATATATATCTATATCTATATATACTGTATATATATATATATATATAGATAGATAGATAGATAGATAGATAGTGTCCAAAGCCTGTCTATGGTATTCTAGGGCTGACACACAGTCTAGAGGCCTGCAGTAGAGATAATAGTTCTGACAGTACCACAAGTATAAACATCCAATGAGCCAGCTGGCCCTCCAGTCGCTGCAGCTTCAGGTCTGACAGAGCATCCAGACTGCGGGAGCTCTGCAGCGTTGGCCCACGACCCTCTGACAAAACCAAAGTGCTTCAGTCAGCTCATGTTTTATTCCAGCATCTTATTATCTGAGGTAGCACATCTGTTAGACAGTTCTCTTGTAGCATTAAAGTGAAACAGAGTCTGAAAATATGAACAGTTAAGCATAAATGTAACTTTGTCCTGGTGTGTAACAAAGTAGCTGAACAGTGTTATGTTACAGTGATTCATTTTCTTTATAAGCCTTTTGCATTCATGCAATATTTTCAAAATGGGAGGAACAAAGAATAAATAAAAACAAACAGAACACCTCTTATTCAATCTTATTAACTTTAACATGAATAACTTTTGTTGTGTTGCATAAGTATGTGGCAGTTTGTTACCAAGTAAAACCAGATAACCATGGATCACCCACTGCTGAAGATGTTCACTGTTTGCCTGCGATACACAGCTTTAGTCTGTCTTTTGGCACAATATCATGTATAGCCACCAAGTGCTTATTTAAGATCCCCTTTTAGAGTTTCTGACTCTGCTTGAAACATTAAAATGTAAGCCGGAGATGGCATTTTCAACCAGCTAATGAATCTTATGTCAGCTTAATCGCTAGCTAGCAACAGCTGATAAAGTCTGTCAGTGACAGCTGGAAAAATCAGTGGTTGCCAGCTTGAAATTAGAGGGTACTTTTGGCTACCTCTGTCTGAAATGAAGGGCCCAGTTGTTTAAAAAATTACTGAGAATTTTAATGGTAAATCACACTTTGTTATTTTTGTCACTTAAACTGCGCGCCTTGCAAGGACACTTGTAGCTTGATATGCGTAGGGGGTTGAAATGAGCAAATGGTTAATTGAACACTATATTTTGTTTAACTTTTGTGTGTTAGTGATATTAGTTTGTGATAAATGGCTGATAGCAGCTACAAATAAGAGTGGGTCTCTGCTTTGACTACTGCTACTATTGCTTTAGCCCACCTCTGGGTACATCCAGACTGGGGTTGAGTTGAGAGTGATGTGCATCTTTGCTGCGGAGTTGAGCACTGAGTTTCTGAAGGGAAGTTTCTCTCTGTCTGAGAGCCAACTCCAGACTGTGGATCCTCTCCACATGCTGCTCCACTAGAGTCGTCTGATGCACACACACATATACACATGTTGAACTGAAACCCAAATTGCTATACTGGAACACTGGCGTGTGGATGACTATGTTTACCATCTTGTCTAGATCTCTCTGGACGTTGCTTTTCTCCAGGTGAATCTTCTCATAAGCCTGAATGACTTCCTCCAGCCTTTCCTCTCTCTCCTTACTCTTCTGGAGCTGAAGCAGAGAAACAGCAGTAATTTCAGAGATTTGTCTTTGATGAATACAACCTGGGGCTTATATTCATAGTTTTGACCATCCAGTATTATGACACACCAATACATCAACATCACTTGCACAAGGTCAAATGGGAAACACGAGCAGAAGTGTAAACAAGCTTTAAGTAACCTGAAGGTGAGCACTAAATTTACTAGCTACCCAAACTGTTGTTTACATGCGTTGACTGACTGCTTGTTTTTCTGGATCTTTCCACCTCTGACTGTGTTCTGAGATCTCAGCAACTACTTTGTTGGGTAATTTACCAATAAAAAATTATGACAAAACTATAACAATAAGGTCCCAGAAATAAAGTTAAATTATCCTTTATGTCATGCCCCATAACATTTTTTGAGTTTATGCTTGTTTAAGATATAGTTTGTTGGCAGATTACCTAGGTAGGCTAATCTAGGCTAAGATTAAACAGATAAGGCCTTTCTCAGTCTGCATTCTTCCCTATACTTGTGTTCTTGCAGACCTGTGAAACGTCATCAGTCCAAGTACTGCTCCAGTTCCAAATCTACTCACATTAGCCCTTTTTACACCAAAGGAAGTTTCCCCAGGAAACAGGAACATTTTTTTGGAGCACAGTTCATCTAAATTCAGTAACGGGGTGTAGTTCTGACCCTGAAAAAAATACCTAATTGGGGGGTAGTACAGTACTTTCTGAAGGTCCAAGAACTATTGGGGTGAGGCCTATAGTGCTGAGTGTCGCTGAATGGTCAAATACAGAGCTCTATGGTACAAATATTTCACTTGCATATGTAAATAAGAATCAGAGTGTGCCAATGTGAAAAATGATTTGGACTCACTGATTCAACTGTCTGAGTTTCTTGGGTTCTCAGTTTGTAAGGAGCATTTTTTCATTAGGCTTATATAAAAAGAGCAGAGAGTGAGATGGGTGGATTGGAAAACATAGTTTTAGTGTTTATAAAGTGGATTCTCCTAATGTTTGACCTGAGGTCACACAGTGTGCAGCAGGAGAGCATGGCATCAAGTGAACTTAACAATCCTTTTGCTTGTTACTGTATGTGCAATAAAACATTGGCGAGTTAAAAAAAAACATCTGTTATAAAAGCATAAACCTGCAAAAAAGCACCAATTTCAGCTTTGCCTGCTGTCAGTCCTCCACCACTGGTGTGTGTTAACCATTCTTACAACCCTGCTGCTGACCATCATGGTTTTACATCAGTGAACTAATTTGTCTAATCTTCCCTGGGCTTCAGCCCTGCTGTGGAAATGCACATCACAATTTTATCTCAGGGGCAGTTCTTGGGCTTTAGTTGGTGAGAATAAAAAGTATGGAGGACTTTCTGGTGGAAGCTGAGCTAATCAGATACTTGGAGATGTTCTTTCTCTGCCGGTTTCATCGAGTAAACTTTGGTAACTGACTAGTGTGGATCTGAAGCAGTGTTAGTGGAGATTTTTAGCCAGGCTCAAACTTGTTAAAATTTTCATCCTTGAACTGCTCCGTGCAGTTGTAAGGAGGACTGCAGCCGAGCTGAGTCAGCAACACTGCAGCTTCCCCAATTACAAAAAAATCCTCAAAAGTGTCTGGACTCCTGAGTTGAACTCAACAAGTATGAACTCTGAAGTATGGGAGTCCACACTTCACCTACTCTGTACTGGCAAACATCTATCTATAGATTTAGTAGATGACCATAGTTAAGACAGGTAGGTTGCACATAGTTTTGGTTGAATGCTGTTGGTTTCTTTTGCCATTTGCTTGGTGATTGGCTGAGACAATACTAATTTTCACTGCTGGAAAGCCAATATCATTTTCCTTCTGGAAGAAGGAGTGGAACCACAATCACTCACATACAGTAAAGTAAGATAGTCACTTTCGGCTTTTTTCCCCGTTTAGGGGTCGCCACAGCGAGTCACGTTACTGACAACTCACATGTTGACATTTGGCATGTGTTTCACACTGAATGCCCTTCCTGACACAACCTGGATTCAAACCCGGGGCGCAGCGCTCTCACCACTGTGCTTTAACCACTACCCTACCAGGGATAGCTGCTCACATACAGTAAAGTATTTCACCTTAAAGTACCCAGCCATGTTATTTATGTGTTCAAGATGTAATTTAGCTCTCTATTTTGCTCTGTGCTTGTCCAGTAGGCTACCTTTCTATGGCAATATATTATGTAAGTCAAGTTATTTTGAAGAATATTTAATAAAAGCTTGACGGTAATTAGTGTTGAGTACTGTTGTGAGGCTTACAGAGCCTGGTTTTCATGTATATTTTTAGGACTTTTTTGCTTTATTTCCCAGTTTAAAACACTTGTTACAGAAGTCAAAAAATGTAATAAGTTACGTTACTTTGAAGTACATTTTTAGCAGAGCGACTAGTAATCTGTAACTTATTACATTTCAAACGTAACCTTCCCAACACTGTATCTACCTCCTGAGTAAGAGAGTTGATCCTCTGTTGTAGGTTGGTGGTCTCCGACTGGATCACACTTGTATCCTTCATGATGGGCTCACAGGAACAGCATAGTATCCTCTCTTCTCCAAATTCACTGATCATGGGAAACTGGTGGAGAGGAGATAGACATTCCAGAAAATAATGCATTCACACCTTTATTAAAATCTCAGTTCTATGCTATTGTACATTGTGTGTTCTGTGAGTGCTGCTCTCCACCTTGACCTCGTAATTTTTGAGTTTCCTCTTTATGCTGCTGTTCTCCCGCTCCAGACTGGCCAGCCTGGTCTTGATATCATGATAGGCAGCAGCCAGGGCCAACCTTGATGCAGGGTACATGTCATCGGGCAGTCGACTGGATGACCAGCTGATTCCTGGTACACCCACATCATCTCTCAGCCCTTCTCCTCCTCCTAGTAGCCCCAGCTCTCCTCTGCCAAATAGATCCATCATCAGTTACCTGTAGAAAGGAGATTAAGTTCTAGTTGGTTCTGGGAAATGTAGAAAACATGGACTGGACTTTGGGCAGACAGACAGAAAGGCAAATAGCCATGCTAGTTCAGTAAGTCATTTTGCACTCTTCACCTCACATAGTGGGGGCACTAATGGCAATAGGTCTGCCAAGCCCCATGCCCTGGCAGAGGTGACAGCCTAAGTGTGTGTGTTTTCAGACTGCAGCCAAGAGCACACAATGCCTGCTAGCCAAAGGTTTGGTGTTTCCCATCTGCTGTTGTGAAGTACTTCCTCTCTTCCCTGCCCACTGCCTCTCAGCGACCGTTTCCATGGTTACACAGTATCACTGATTCTACACCACAAAAAGGAGAGATCAATACAAAACTATAAAAGCAAAACTTAGGGTCAGTAAGATAGGTTTTATAGTTCAATGTTTTGTGAAGCATCATTGTACAATCCTGGCTATTTGCAAGAGCTTTGGGCCCCCAGTTTGACTGGAAGATATAATGACAGACCGGATTTGCTGACAACATACTGTATACAGTATAGAGTAGTAGTATTTTCTCAATGCATTTTAAAGCCCCCTTGCAGAAATGCTTTAAGACATGTAAAATAAGCATGAATAATTTGTATATGTGGTTTTGAAACAATTTCACATACAACATTTTGGAAATGCAATCATCCAAAATACAGTCATGAACAAACACATTCTATTTTAACTGATAACACTGTATTATGTTTAGCCATACTGAATACATCATTTAAACACTCCTAGTGTATGTTGTAAAAAGTATGTGAACCTCTAGACTAATGACTTCAACAAAAGCAACAACCCTGGAACCTAGTCAATAAAACCAGACTGGATGTGTGGGTTAGAGCTGCTCTGACACCCATTTTGAGTTTGCTGTTCACAAGAAGCATCTGCTGATGTGAACCGTGTCTTGCAATAAAAATATCTCCAAAAATGTAGGATTAAGAACTGTTAATTTACATAAAACTAGAAAGGGTTACGGAGTCATCTCAAAGAGTTTAGATGTTGAGACAAGGCTAACTGAGCTCTGACAACAACACACTGTACAACGTTTCATCAAAACAATATCATGGCCCACAGCAATGGGAGAAATGCTGGCAGCTGATCACAGCTGCTCCTCAGCTATACACAGTAAAATGACTAAAAGTAACTGCTTTACTTTTTTGTTGAAATCTTGTTTGAATAGAACTTTACTGGCATTGTTAATGAACACACCTGTTCGGGGGTTCTGTTTGAACATTCAGTGTGAGGAGAAAAGATGCTCATTCAGGTCATGTGAGAAGGCCGATTAAAGTGTACATTGTACACAATCAATAAAAATTGATCATTAATCACAGTAACACTATGTTACTTTGATACTGGGCGATTGATGGACGGTTGAAGGCAGTTTTGTTCAGTGGATGGATGGATCCAGGTTATGACTGATGTCACTACAGATAATTCCTAAGTTGTTTTACTCAACTCTTGAGTGTTCTTGGCTGGCTGGTGTGGCAGACATTAGCCACAGGCAATGACATGGAACATGTGGGTGAATTTATACCTAATCTTGCTGCCCTGTGCATTTTAAAAATACTTGTTGTTTCACAGCAGCAGGCTATCACAGGGCCAACTGCAGTTCTGAGGCCAGTGGCTCAAATGTGGGCAAAAACATAGAATTGTACAATAAAATAAAATAGTAAAAGTGGCATAGTTCATTTCAACTGAAGCATTTCCCTTTCCTTCTCTAGCGTCCACCCCCAGCACACTATTACTCCCATGTACAGTGTGTGTTGTGCAGAGCCTAAAGGCAGTGGCAACAGTAAACGAGGAAGGTCAAAGCATCACTCGGCAGATAACTCCCACTCTACAGCCCACACACTCTGTCTGCCACACACATCTTCAGCCCACACACTGCTTGTGTCTATTGTCTAACTATCTGGCTCTTATTCTGTCTCTTCCTCTGAGTTTTCAACTCGATTCACTCAGCTCTATTGACTTAATTTTTTTGATAGAATGTACACACAGTGCCAGCCAAGGGCAGATTAGAGCTGGGCCATACGTCTTTATAATGTGGTTGTTTAATTTATTGATGGGAAAACGGTCCACATTACCCACAACCCCCTGCAATCAAACACAAAACCCAGTGGATTTCCTCCCCATCATAGTCAGTGCAGTGATGGCACAGGAACAGTGAACTGTGCAAGGCAACCATCTGTATTTAACTGTGTATTTGTAATCTATCATTTTTATTCAAAAACATCAAATAAATACTAAATTAAGGGGAAGGCAGGCACTTTACTGAGTACATCAAATTGGGGAATACAGGGGAATGAAGTAGCTGACAAAACTGTAAAATTGTCAACTTCTAAAGTAGCTGGACTGTCAGTTTTCTAAAATGGAATTTCTCAAATGTGACAAGAAACACACGATAATGACCACAAGAGCAGGGTTTTCCCATCAGTACAGCCATCGCTGCATAAGACCGTCACATCATTTGGAGAACAAAGCATAGATAAAGTAAAGCTGATGAGGTTGAGGTTGGGACTGAGAAGTGGGCTGGCTCTGATAACATCCTGATGGTAAATGTGAGTGTGGACAGTTAGAGACTGTAAAGCATGTGTGCTAGTTTTTGTATGCTAATTATGTGGAGCAAAGTCATGGATTATATATGAGTGATTAACAGAACTGGGGGACCCCGTTCTCATTTCCTTCATGCCACTGGACTGTACCAACAATGGATATAAGCTGGATGGGACAGTATATCCAAGGTGACATTCAAACTGAGGAGAGCAGTAATACATCATTGCTGCATCTAGTCTGTTAAAGTAAATGCAATTAAATGCTCTGCCCTGTTTTGGCTTTGGCCATTATTTTTAATCTGTTTTATGAGTTCCTGACTTTATGGTAGGCCAAAATTAATTCCTGGGATACCCTTTTAAATGGACTGTTTTGCTCTCTCTATTTACTTAATTTGTACCTTTGAATCAATTATTGTGTATAAAAATAAACAGGATATATCAACAGATCTATTTAACTGGCAAAATTCAAAGCATATCCACCTACAGTATCTGTGTCCAAAAATCAAGATACCACTGTATTAAACCAAAGTGGATCATGTAGCTTAAATCCTCCCAGTGCTTCAAAGAAACTACTATAGAGTCAAAGTAAGTTTATATTTATTCCTGAATGGCCACACTCAAAGAGGAGGTCAGGGGCCTGCCTTCAAGTTCTCCTCCTGGTTGCATCCCACTGCCTCAAAACTCCAACAATTTTGGGACTTTAGTGCATCTTAGTAGTACAAATTGGCAGAATGGATTCTTAGACAGTGTGGTACTTTGTTTTAACCTTACTGAAACCTTTATGTTATGTCCGGTTTACTGATTATTTTGCACTGCTGAAGGCTACACAGTAGTACATGTGTACAGATATACAATAGATAGCAATAGCTTTATAAAGAAAAAATATACATGTATAATGACATATAGCAGTTAATAGTAGCCATTGAAACAAAATACCATTACAGCTGTATAAAAACAACATGAGAGCACAAATTACTCATTTGTGCACGGAAGTTATTATTTGGATCGTCATGGTAAGGCTCCAAGTACTGGCACGTACGTGTCATCTTGTGATCAGTTAAATCAATGGCAATTGTTGCGTTATGTTAATGAAAGAAGTTACACTGATTTGGATTCCTTCCAAACATTTTTTTCATCACTCCTGAAAACTTTTTGTCTAGTGCTCACTAAATACCAAAGTATCTGGATCAGTCTAAAAATTAAGATAAATAAATAATAAACTAAATGTATTTTGCACTGTTTTCCTATAATTGCTTGCCAAATTTTCTTGATTTGGCAATAACTATTATAAAGGTTTCACAATTGCAACCACATTCCTCTGCAATAATAATAAAAAAACAACATTAATCATAATGAAAAGCCTTTAAAAAACAGAGGTGCTTTACATAAATGAAGCCAGAGAAAACAATTCAGCACAATAAAATATAAATAAAGAAGAATCTAGCTACTGAAACTACAGAATTGAGATAAAAAAAATGAAAAAAATTAAATAGTATAGAGTCACCACTCATACAACAGACTTTGGGAGGAAGCCGGAGTACCTGGAGAAAACCTGCTAGGCAGAATGTGAAAACTTTAAACAGAAAGGCCCTGGTCCACCGGAAAGTTTGAACCCAGAACCTTCTTGCTGTGAGATGACAGTGCTAACCACTGCATCACAGTGCCACCCTGCTCTGCAGGTGTAACTGATATTGTGCAAAAAAAGTTCTGAACTCAGGTTTTTGTTGTTGAAATTGCAACTGGACAATGGCGCAGTATTTAAGTTTCTAATCCAACACCAACATCACCACCAGGACAAATTCTTTGTAAGAAAAAAAAATCACATCACATCAAGACTGTTACTTTTACAGTAACAAAGGGCGAGATGAAATTAACTGAATTAAAGTGATAAGAAAAAGAAAGAAGGCTACTCTGTCCTGATAAGAGCAATGCGAAGAGAAATGTGGAAAAGGCACCATATCTGTGAGCATAGCTGATGCACACATACAAAGGGAGATGAAGACCTAAAATGAGGGTTACAGAGACAGAATGATGAGATGGAGACGGAATAGCTGTGGATGACAGAACAATCTGGAGAGAAAGAGAGAAAAGGAAAAAAAGTAGGGAGGAAATAGAAATGAGGTCAGCAGAATAACTTCCTGCCCTAGTACTGTAATCATGTGACATTTTCTATGTAACACACACACACACACACACACACATATTTAGTGTAAGGACACAGACTATTTATTCTGCAGTGCAAATCCTTCAAAATATAGTGATATATGTATGGACTGAAAAAATATCTATCTAGTTAGATAAATAAAGAGATTTATATTTATATTATTGATCATACTGAGACAATTTCCTGATGTTGTTGCTGCTGGTATTGTTCCTGGTTCCTGTAAGTTCATTAAATGTGTTGATGTGTTGATCCTGATGGACCCAAACTACATCACTCTGAGAATTTTGGTCTTCATTTAGGTCTTTTTTCTTTAACTGTATGTTATATACACTATTTGTAGTCAGGCCTTGGGTACACACTTTGTAGGTTGAAGGTCATCCTCTGCCTTCTCGTCCCACGCATGCACACACTAATACCAACTTACAGAATACTCTTTAGACCCCTTTGTATCCGTCTTCCTTCTGTATCAAACTGTACTACTATTACAGCCAGCTGCTCTGCTACTCTTGGCCCTGCTGGACTTTATCCAGCTTCTGTATAGGAGAATGACTGAGCAGACCACCTGCCTCTTGCTAGTTTAAATTTTTCAGATGGAGAGGAAAGTGTAGTGAAGAGAAAGGACAGGTGAGACTAAAATGTATTGTCAGTTTCAGTTATTGATTAAAAAAGCAGTCAACTGGCTGTACTGTACCTGGTAATGCCTGGTTGTACTTTTATAAAGTATGACCATTTGAAAAAGGTGACATTTAGGTTGGGAACAGCCCAAATGGATCAGATAGCTGAATATTACTGCCTAAATGAAATTAACTTAAGATCTGTCTGACATCTTGGAGAAAAAATGCGTTTGTGTCTTACCTATGGTGAAATGAAGACAAATCAATTCCTGAGATACTGTATGTTTAAGGAGTTGATTGTGGTTCTAGTTTTTAGGCCTGGAGCTGATAAACCCTCATAGTAGGGCTGCTAGGTCAGTGTATAGTGGTTTTACTAATAGCCTGTTGGTGGTTAAACTATTATCTTAACAGTAGAGAATATGTTCATCCTTTGAAAATAAAACTAAAGTAAAAGAAAAAATTTCATTCATTCAGCTTGATCAGTGATGCAACAGTCAGGTGTCAGAAACAGACTCAGTTCTCCACCTAAAGAGCTGCTCAGTAAGCTATGAATAAGGCTGCAATTAGAAACACTGGTGAGGTAACACCAGCTGAACTGTGGAGCAGTTAAGAATTGGTTTAAATAAAACAGTGTGACCTCATCCAGCACACAGCTTATACACAGACACACTCTTTGAGAAATGGCTTGGTCAGCTGAGTCAATCCCATCTTTCACAGTAGCTTGAGGATGTCTGAAAAGCTAGTGACTCACAGACAGCGTTTTAATCGACCTGTGTTTCTGTTTGTGTGTGTGTGTGTGCTCATGTGTCCCCATCCACAAATGCATGAGTAGCATGGGCAGGAGGTCACTGCACATAGTTATACATCTGACTCCCAGCAAATCACACAAAATACTAATGTGTGCAGGAGGCAGGAGGGACAAAGCAGATGGAGATAAAGAAAACACATTTGGATTCTGCTGTCCATGTGTTCAAACTAATGCTCTTCGTGATTAAAACTGTATCTGATTCAGTCTGTTACTGTGTAATGTGTTTCATTACATACTTAGTTCATAAGTATAGCAGTAATGATCTAGGTCAACAACCTAGAGGTGTGTCCAAACTAGGATTTTGTACTTGGCCTCTACAATTCATCCTGCAGGTGGTGAGCCTTCTGCCTCACCCACTAAGTGCTAATAAGATGAGGCTACATCAGGTCTGGTTTATATCATGAGCTTGGACCACAGATATGAAACATTAAAGTAACAATATGTAATTTGTTTACGTTAAAATAAGAGCTTCAAAATCATTTTGATGGTAGACTGACATCTAATAAAGTGAATGGCAGCTCTGCTATTGCCATCACATGCCCAAATCACCTGTTACTGGACTATTTAACTTTGGGAAAGTGTCCCTGACACTTCTTGTGAGAACTGCATTTTGCTTTACACCATTAGACCCTTCTGCTAGCTCGGTAGTCTATGATTCTTTTACACATGCAGAAACAAATCCCTGGGCCTTTATTGAGTTTTGATATTTGTTTCACACAGGGAAGTGACCACTTAGACTGTGACTATGTGGTTAGTTTATCCAAGTAATGCAAATTCAGAATTTGTTCCGACGTTTTCGGAGATGTGAGCAGGCCACTCCTTATCGGACCAAGCTAGTTCTATTAGCAGGCAGCTGCAGCTTGTTCAGACCACAGCAGTCTGTTGCCAAGGATGCCGCTGTTCCAGCTGCACACCACAGCTGCATTTTCACTGTTGGAAATTTGCTCTAATGTCTTCGGAGCTGTGAGGACCTGCTAGTAGATGAGACTAACTCTCCTTAGCAGGCAGCTACTTCTCATTCAGAGCAGAGTCAGAAAGGATGCTGGTGCTGCAGTTGCACACAGAGTACTGTATCGTCCTGTCCTCAGGAGTTTGGGCATAAAAGTTCAGACTTACTAACTTACTACAATCACCTACTGTGATTGGGGACAAGCTGTGCACGAGGACTAAAGCACACACATGGCAGTATGTAGTAGAGATCGCCAGAGCCCAGACACAGCCAGGAAGAAGAGAAAAAGAACAAGAGACCAGATGGCTTTCACTCAATGGCAAGAGATAAAACTAACCCTGTCAGAATTACTAACTGTTAATAGCTACTGTCCTGACATTATTTACTAACACAAAAACACCACCACAGCAGAGTGTACATCTCTGCTAATGTTATTTATGAAATACTTCAATGTAGGCTGTAACCCTGGCAATGTCATCTCCTGTCTCATGGAGATTTTTTTCCAGATATAAAAACTCATCTACCTCAGTCTCCCAAATAAATAAATTCATCTTCAGTGTTTGTCTTCCATGTCATAATAAATAAGCCTATGCAGAGTCATGTTTGTATAAAATCCTGTAATATTACTTTACTATTCCTTGGCTTCTGACGTTCTCTTCCTCTGTTCAGTAACAGCTTCTGTATTTAAGCTGTATTTGATGCAACTAGTATTTACAACAGTTGGGTACAACCCAGTTACACTCAGCAACTATAGGGGGAGACAAACTGCCAAGTTATGTATTGTTGCTTTATGCACCGATCACATCAATCCAGAGTAAAGAAATAGACATACAAAGTCAAGACCATGGTGTTCATGGATACAAAGCAGCACATATGATTTGAAGACGGGTATGACGCAGCAGTAAGAAACTTTTTTGTCCAGATGGTTAGAACATACAGACAGGGTATTGGATGGATTCAGGACCGTGTCATTAGGCTAAAAGACCTATACTGTGTGAATTCCCTGGCTATTTATTATTCAGAAAATCAGACACTTAATCACGTTACTACAATTCCTGGGTGGTTTTAACATTCAGTAAAAATATTATCCCTTACTAAATGTGAGTAATTTCTGCCTGAGAGAAAAACCTAGGCAGAAAAAAGTCTGATTTTAGGATTTTGATAAATGAGGGGGTCCAATTTCCTTCCCCGCCACCCATCCTCCCATCCTCAGTGAACACTGGCCCCTGTATTAGATGTGTTCCATAAACCCGACAATACCTCAACGCAACACGCGCCTCCATGCTCTTTATCAGCTTTCCTAGAGCCTTGCTACTCAGTGAAATGTTCTCCATCTGTATGTTACAGTCAGGACCTAAGATGCTTATAAAGACATTGAAACAGTGCCGCAATTTGCACCTTAATCTTTCTATAATATTCCCCTTGCGCTGATTTGCGCATCTGTGCGAAGAGAGTTTCCTTCAGCCTTAAGGAACTGGAGCATTATTTGTCTGTTTTTACATTCTTGTTACATTCTCATAATGTTCCTGTAGGTGCTATTTGTCTGGTCTCATTCTAATATCCATTAGCGTCACTGCTGAGCGTTTTCCCCGACAGCATCCGCCGCTGCGCAACCAAAACATTCCAGCTTGACCCGCCGTGAAACACCGAAATGTTATTTTCTCCGGTAAACTAGGCTTTCGATAGGAGTAATAGATACAGACAGATATCAGCGACAAACACACAATCAGAAGTTAGTCAAAGGGACACATAACCATGATGAAGCTGGTTTACTTACGTCTCTACTTCCGTCGTAGAAAAGTCATGAAGATGACGGTGCTGAGCAGGGTCGACATGACTGGGGTCTGACATCAGCAGTGGATGCTGCCGTGTGTGTGTGCGCGCCCTCTCCCTCCCCTCTTTCGACAATGACCGAGCAGGGGAGGGTGAAGCTCATTTTCATCAGAGGAACAACGACTCACTTTGGGTCTTTTTAATATCCTACTGGTTCCACAGAAGGCTCAGAGGAACATGTTTCGCACATGCTAAGATACCTGTTTCAAATAAATGGCTACATTTTTCTGTAGTTTAAAAAAGAATGATCCAAAATGATTTGCAGATTTTGGTTAGGGGAAATTATAAAACAAAATTTGGGCCAAATTCTTTGTTAATTTAAAAACACATATTATTAAAAAGCCAAAACTTGAAACTGAAAGCGGAGGTATTGATCTTGAAACCTGTGAAAACAAAGATAATGTAACTGAGATTTTTCAATTAAAATGCAATTTTAATGAATTTTTAGATGCATTAGAGTAAACACATTTTAAAAATTTTATATGAATTTCTTCTGTCAATTAATTTTTTTCCCCCAGTTCTATAATAGTTTTCAACTAAAATGTTTTCTATGTCAGACCTTACTTTTTCTATTTCAGATGATGTTTTTTCATTTCAGACTTTGGGCCCTGTTTTGGGATTGTCCACATCAACCACTTAAATAAATAAATTCCCATTTCTCATATATCCTGAAACCTCGACCTTCTGTGATATGCTGGGTGAATCCTAAATCTCTTACACACATACACATTTCCCTCACTTGTATCTTTTCTTTGCATCTTAGTCCCAGGCATGTACCGTCAGATGCAAGGAGTCGCAGTGAATGACCCAAGACCCACACTCACCAGGGGGCCCATAAAAGAGCCCTTAATAACACACTCTTCCTTTTTCTTAAAAAAAAAAATTTAATTTGAATTTTTAAAGTTTTTTGTGATTTAAATCTGTCAGTACTAGAGGTGTGATCATATACGCGAGTACACCACTGCATTGTGTAAGGTGAGATTTGATATTATGTATAAGGTTGTCAATTTATCAGCAACTTAGAGTCACCAGTTAACCTAATCTACATGTCTCTGGACTGCAGGAGGAAGCTGGAGTGGGAAAACCCACACAGGCACAGGGAGAGCCTGCAAATTCCACACAGAAAGGCTCCTGTCACCCACTAGGTTCCACCCCAAAATCTTTTTGTGGCAATGATATCCACTGCACCATTGTTCTCCATCTTAGGGTCATAGTCCCTTCATTAAAATGAATATGTTTGTCTCTGTTACTGCCTATCAGTCTCCAAATCTCCAACTACTTCAATGACCCACCTGTCATGTTTGAGTTGTGTTTGTGTAGCTGTATAAATAGTAAAACATCACATCTGCTTATCACCAAGAAACACACACTGTCACACATGCTCACTGGGAACTCAGCAGGCATAGAATGGTTATATGGAAAGTATTGTATGTGATGGTGAGTGTGTATCCTTAATATCAGGACAGAAACCCTGTTGCAAATGAAAGAACCCTTTAACTGTGACTCTGCCTCTAAAAACATGTTCTCACTTATGTTATTTGGAGCATGACTACTATAAAGCCACAAGTTCCCTTTGCTTTGTTAGCCTGCAGTCACAGTTAGGCCTCAGAATATGGGCCTGTTTCCAGCAGGTGCTCTTCCAGGATTTCTTGCACCCAAAGGGAGAATCTTACCCCTACACCAACGAGCCCAGACATGTAGTCACTGTTACATAACATTTTGATTAAAGAGCATAAAAAAAGCCTTGCATGTTGAAATTAGTCGGTGTGTCATTGCTGTCAGTCAATCTGACAGGCCTAGACCAGCAGTTTTCCTCTGCTTCCAGTCTCTGTGCTAAGCACTTCTTGTCCATAACCTGCTCAGTTTATGCAAGTGTTTGATGAAAAGTGGATACTTTTTCTCAAATTGGGAGAAAACAACGGTATGATTAGGCTTGTGTTAGTAAATCCCACAATGCTCTGTTCACTGATATCAAAGAAAATAAACAAACATATTAGAGAATATATGTGAGAAAGTATGAATTGTGTCCTAAACGGCCTCTCATACATCATGTGTTTGTCTCATGATGAACTTTAGTCCAGGTTCCATGATCAGCTCGTTGTTGACATTTTCACACTTGTTGGTTTTCAGCTATGGACACACACAAAACTGTTGTGATGCAGAAACATTTTCATTTCAGACTGACAGACTGCCTCAGGTTGAGCACTCAGTAATCTTTTTTTTTAATCTGTCACCCAAAGTTTGACAGTTGGTAAGGCCTAGACAACTCAGCTCCCTCCTTTCAACACTCTGATACAACAAAGACATGTCTGTCGGTACTCTAGTCAATCTGTTGCTCTTCACTGTATTATGTAAGCAGTGGACTAGACCAGCTCACAGTTGGCTGCAAAAATATCCCAGCATGTGCTGGAGGTTGTAGTCTGATGAAACCAACTGAACTGCATGACCTGCAAAAAGCAACAATTCTGTCCAGATGTTACCAAACCTGACATCCTCTGTCCTTTTGCTGAATCAATTCTATTCATGAAAGAAACAGTCAGTGCCAAGGTACAACCCTTGTGGAACTCAATAGAGAATGTGCTTGAAAATACATACACATGTGTCACTGTGGTATTACAAAGGATGGATGGGCTTATAGCAGTAGCCCCAGGATCCTGTACTCCTGCATTACTCCTGACAAGAGAACCAGAGGGACATGGCCACAGCGGAAGATGTCACAACAACAGACTAACACTGGAAAGAGTTCAGGATCATGACATTAAAGCTACGTTGTTTTTGGTTCAAATGGTTGGAGCTTCAGGATTTTGTATTTGATGCTGTGGTAGTGACTCCTGCCGATGTGATGATCCATGGCATAAACCTCCCGTGTGGTGTCTCGGGTAGCCTCATAATGCCCAAAGCAGATGTGGGGCAGTGGAAACAAAAATGCTTGTTTTATACCAGCCAACGATTATTGTCTTTTAGTGTCCTGACCAAAAGGCTAGTCCCAGTTTTTTCCCACCCATCTCTCACTTAATTGTCAGCTTCTGTGCATTCTATGATGCTGACCCACTGGAGCACTGTACAATCCATTGTTTAACTGAGGGAGTGAAACACTTGAGAGCCAAAATGTACTCAGTATGCTAGATCTGAATGTGCCAAAAAATTGAATTACATAAATCACACTGCGAGATGGGCACGCTATGTGCTGACAGTACAAACATTAACAGAGTGCTGCAGATTTTCTATGGTATCACTTATCACTGAATATGGTGAAGATGAGGAATTATAAAGAAGAAGCAGAGTTGATACAGCCTTGAAATGAAACTGCATTCCATTCTCTCTGCACACACACATGCCACAAACCATCCATAGTATCCTTTCACTGGAGGGTTCAGGAAAGTTTTCAATGCTTTAAACATTTAAAGGGGAATTCAACATTTTTCCTGCTTAACTAGACCAAGACATACGCTGATCAGCCATAACATTAACATAACATTCTGCTTGCACGAGTCATCATACTTTTGACCCTTTGGGGGCAGAGGAATGTGGGGACCCCCCCCCCGGCCCCTTCTGATTGGTCATTTTCAGGGTGGTTACATCATATTGTTAGAAGTACCCACATGTCACCAGCTGGTGGCTATAATACATCAGTTTGTTGTTTGCCAGTCACCAATAAAAATCATAGAGAAGAAGAAGAAATGACAGTTACCTCAAGATTTGCAAGTAAGTGAAAACACAATGCAATGTACATGTAAAACTCAGCAGTTTAGGCTACCAGCTCTGTATCATTCATTTTTAATGCAACAGACAAACATTAGACCAAAGGTAACATTAGCCATAACATTCTAATCAATAGGCTAATCAATTATCCTGAAACAATCAATCATAAGAGGGCTATTGTCTCCACATTAGTATTTTTTTTTCAAACATGTAAAGACAGTCAATATGTCAACACACATAATTTCACACATATCCACAAATGCATTATCAATTTGCTTATACCTAGTACATGCTTGAACAGAGTAGGAAGAAGTTAGACTTATCTAGTCCTACCCCATAACATCATCTTACCATCATTGGTTTGCAAGCAGTATTACTACATAGATAATTTTGTTCTACACCACGCTAGTGATATACTAAAAAATTATTACAGATTGTTACCATTCTTACATAATTACATACTTTGATAATTATCTTCTACATCACACAAGTAGAATTATTACATAGTGTTAACATTCTTACACCACACCACAATGTTACACCTGATTAATCATTAAACCTGTTTTTGCATATATCTTGATTGACTCATACCTTTATATTTATGTTTAAACTCATCAATTCTCTTACTGTTTTTTATGTCCACACTTAAAATATTCCATAGTTTTACCCCACTTATGGAAATACA